TACAAAAACATATAGAAATTATTGAACTTCCAATTCAGCCCACACAAAGTGAATTTGCATAGCATATGCATGAGCTATAAAAGTGATGGTGATATAGATGTGGATGTTACTAGTAGAATTCAAGTTGGATGGTTGAAGTGGAGAAATGGATTGGGCCTATTCTTTGATAGAAAAGTACCGCTTAGACTTGAAGGAAAATTTTATAAGATGGTAATGAGACACGAAATGTTTTATGATGCAGAATGTTTGCCTTTAAAAGAGAAGCTTTAAATTAAGTTAAGCGTTGCTGAGATGAGAATGTTTAGCTTGACACTTAGAGACAAAATGCGAAATGAAGATATCCACGAAAGGGTTCGTGTAGCTCTAGTGGCTGATAAGAGTAGAGAGTCGTCATAGATGGTTTGGTCACATTAAACATCGACTATTTGATGATCTAGTTGGGAGAGTATATGCTTTAGATTTGACTTATCTTAAGAAAGGTAGAGGTGGACCTAAAAGTACTAGGGCATCTTGTATAAAAAACAATTTTAATTTGTTAAAATTAAATGAAAATATAACACACAGTAAGACAGAAAAAAAAGATTCATGTAGCCGATCCTACTTAGTGGGATAAAGGTTTGTTGTTGTTGTTGTAGTTGTATGCATACACTATGTAAGGATTTAGAAAAAAAAAGAAAAATTTATAAATTATAGTAACTATAAGTTTGTTGCAAATGACAATAGGAAACAAATTGATTCAAACTAGATAATAAGGTAACAATTGTCTACTTGAACCTGAGCAAAACAGAAAGTGTCGACCAACCCGGAATACCACTGGGGAAATTACATTCGAGCTAACAGGTGATGAGAAGAATATATGTCACACTAGGAAGGAAGGCACTGGGGCTCACATCTAACCTGAGAGGTGACGCGAAAAATATATGGGTTTGAGCCTTCAAATTTAAGTGTCGATTTGATTTGATAGAAACCATTGCGATAGGAAGGAGCCCTAAAGTAACACGAAATCGGATGTCATAATCCTCATCCTCTGAAATTTGATATGAACCATTGCAAAACAACGCGGAATTGGATGTCGGAATCCTCTTCCTCTAAAATTTGATATGAATCATTGCAAGGCAATACGAAATCGGATGTTAGAATCCTCTTACTTCTAAAATTTGATATGTGAACCATTGCAAAACAATGCGAAATCGGATGTTGGAATCCTCATCCTCTAAAATTTGACGTGAATCATTGCAAGGCAATGCAGAATCGGACGTTGGAATCCTCTTCCTCTAAATTTGATATGAACTATTGTAAAACAATGCTGAATCGGATGTTGGAATCCTCATTCGATAGAAACCATTGCGATAGGAAGGAGCCCTAAAGTAACACGAAATCGGATGTCATAATCCTCATCCTCTGAAATTTGATATGAACCATTGCAAAGCAATGCGGAATTGGATGTCGGAATCCTCTTCCTTTAAAATTTAATATTAACCATTGCAAAGCAATGCGGAATATGATGTGAGAATCCTCATCCTCTAAAATTTGATGTGTATCATTGCAATAGGATGGTTTCTTAAAGCAGTGCAGGAGGAGATGCAGTCTCATACCGAATAAACTGCCATCCCTCATACAAACGGAGCAAAAGACAATGAAGAGTGTGGTTCTACGTAGATGGAATCAGCTAGTCTCTTCCACATGAGAGAGATGACCCAAATTCCCTGTGGAAGGAAACTTAGAGCTGAGAGAAGTGACGTTGGTGATAGATCGAGAAAACTCAACCTGACCAGGTCAAAACTGAAATTCTCAATTTTGATTTTGATTGATGAAATATATTTTGTGAGTTTTTATTTATTTGAAAATTTTATTTTCTTTATTTTATTATTTTTTTAGAACCCAGTTTTAGACACACGTGGCATCGGTGCTTCTTAAGAACGAGATCTTTGTCTTTGAAACATCACGACGCACGGTGCTTCTTAAGATATTGTCGACTACTCAGAAGCATGTAAAAATTAACCCATCCTTTAAGGTACTATGAGAATTTTATTCTTTCAAGTACACATAAAGATGTGTTATTTCAAAGGATATCGCGGTTCGAGAGGTTTCGACTCTGTGGCTCCGCTGCGACAATCGTCACTAGCTTATCACTGATTTCATAAATATTGTTCGAGTTGTCTTTGAGAAAATCGTCATTAGCTTTCATAAATATTGTTCGAATTTTCTGGGAGTTGGAAGATATGACTTCATGCTCGAATTTCATTAATTGCTAATAACGTGGCCCTTTCTTTAATTCTTTATTTCTAGGCCTAAGCAAATTTCAAAATTTCTGATCATGTGATTAAAACATTTTTCATTTCCCAAGGAAATTTGAAAGTCCGTTAATAGTCAACCAAAAAACACAGGGTCACTCAACTATTTTCAGAGTATAATATCAGAAGAATTTTCTTAAGAGATCTTTCAAGTTTTATCAAATAGGGGAGAACTCAGACGCCGATTTTTGATTTATCTTTTTGATTTTTGCACTTCTCAAGCTTCTTCACCAGGGGTTTTTTTTTAATCTTTTCTTTGCTCCTTTTTTTACTGAGAATTACTATAACAAGTGAAACACACTTTAAAGATTTTGAATGTCTGAATTTAGACACCAATTTTAGAATTTGTGCCCACCTCAAGCTTCTTCTCAGGAAGCTCTTCTTTTTTCTTTGCTCCTCTTTTTTTATTGAGAATTACTATATTTGGTGAAGCACACTTTAAAGATATTGAATGTCTGAATTTAGACATCAATTTTTGATTTTGTGCCAACCTCAAGCTTCTTCTCAATGAGTCTTTCACATAATTTTTTATTTGCTCCTTTTGTTTTCTGAGAATTACTAAATCTCGTAGAACATATTTCAAAGGTTTCAAATGTCTGAACTCCCTTAACTAATAATCCTCAAATATTTCTTAATATGAATTCTGAAATATTATAGCTCATTCAAAAGTTAGGGCTCAGTCATATGGCAGGAGATTAAAAGACTTGTGATATCCCGAGTCAATTACGCGTATTATAATCACACTATTTTGTTTTGGAATTTGCTTAGGACCCAGGCCAAAATCTTTAAAGTGAAGGACCCAGTTATTAGGATATTAATTCCATTTGTCCCTTAAGTCATAATTTTGTCAAAACGCCAAGACACCAAAAATTTGTTACATTGAATGCACTTTTCTTTATTGTACCTCTGATGGGCTTTGAGCATACAACGTGAACTATTCCAAAAAAGAAAATTCTTCTTCATTTGATATCAAATTGTCTACAGAATTTCAAACAAACTCCAAACTATGGTGGGAGAATCGGGACCCACTACTCATGAACTGGAACAATTGGATTGACCGAAACTATAATGGTGAAATCTCTTTCAGGCTCTTTTAAATATTCTTTCGGGATCGCTATGTTATCATTCATGAAATTCTTTTCGAGCCACTCTTTGAAGCTGAACAGTCCTTTATGGTGTGTCCGACCAATCTGTGGTATGGGCAATACTGGGGGTAGTCCCTATTATCGATCTCATCTGGCTTTTTTGGCTCTGATAGTCTGAATTCAGACTTTTTGACCAAATCCTGGAATATTTCTTCCACTATTTCTTTTTTGAATGAATATTCCTTGTTTAGACGTTCTCTGATCGTAAGAGAATTTGTTACTGCGTGCTGAGACGACTGTTGAGTATGTTGTTGAAGACATTGATGGGTCTGTTGAGGTCGCTTCATCTGTGTTTGCAATGGTCGCTTCCCCTTATAAACCAATATTACTGCCCCAGGCTTCTCTTCAAACACTTTCACAATATCTGGCTTTTCCATTTTCATCTGAGGTAATCTTAATTGTTCTTGAATCGTGGCTATAACAATTGTCAGCTCTTCTATCTTCTTCTCTATTCGGCTGTTGAATGGCCATTTGTAACTCATCCACAACGTTCTCCTTGATGGGAAATAGAGCGTCACGCGAAGATGATGTGGCCCTAGCTTCAATAACATTGATATCCGCGAACTCCTCAACCATGTAATATGTTGAGTTGTAGTCATTATCGTTGGCATTGTTCCATTGTTCTTCGGTCAACTGTGTGATGATATCAAATTGTCTACAGAATTTCGAACGAACTCCAAACTATGGTGGGAGAGCCGGGACCCACTACCCGTTGTCCTGTTGATGTCCCTTCTCACAAACTGGAACAATTGAATTGACCGAAACTATATTGGTGAAACCTCTTTCAGGTTCTTTTAAATATTCTTTCGGGATTGCTATGTTACCATTCATGAAATTCTTTTCGAGCCACTCTTTGAAGCTGAACAGTCCTTTATGGTATGTCCGACCAATATGTGGTATAGGCAATACTGGGGGTAATCCCTCTTATCAATCTCATCTGGCTTTTTTGGCTCTGGCAGTCTGAATTCAGGCTTTTTGACCAAATCCTTGAATATTTCTTCCACTATTTCTATTTTGAATGAATATTCCTTATTTAGACGTTCTCTGATCGTAAGAGGCAATTTGTTGTTGCGTACTGAGCGGTTGTTGAGAATGTTGTTGAAGACATTGATGGGTCTGTTGAGGTCGCTTCATCTGTGTTTGCAAGTCGCTTCCCCTTATCAACCAATATTACTGCCCCAGGCTTCTCTTCAAACACTTTCACAAAATCTGACTTTTCAATTTTCATCTGAGGTAATCGTAATTGTTCTTGAATCATGGCTATAATAATTGTCAGCTCTTCAATCTTCTTCTCTATTCGGCCGATTCGCAGATTTTGTTGTTGAATGGCCATTTGTAACTCATCCACAACGTTCTCCTCG